GCGCACTGCCTGCTTGATCACAATATTGAATTTGACGACAACCTGGTTGAACTGCACGCACGTGCGAACCCGCCGTTGCGGCCTTTGTTAGACGAATCGCCCTACAAACATGCCGTGGGTGATTCAGACGGCAGCTTACTGCTCCCCGGATCGTTCAACCCGGTACACGACGGTCATAAACAGATGTTGTCTATTGCCGAGGGTCTGACCGGATTGCAGGGTGCGTTTGAACTGGCGGTGAAAAACGCCGACAAACCCAGCCTTGATTACCTGACCATGGAGGAGCGCATCGAAGGCATTGGTGATACCCCTCTGTGGTTAACCAACACACCCAACTTCGAAGGCAAAGCCAACCTGTTCAAAGGCACAACTTTTGTGGTCGGGGTAGATACGCTGGCGCGGATCGGAGAGTTACGTTTTTACCGTAACCACGTTGATCTGCTTGATAAAGCCATGAACACTTTTGTCGAGCAGGACACTCACTTTGTGGTGTTCGGCCGCCTGATTGGTGACACGTTTGTAACTCTGGAGCACCTTGATATACCGGAGATCCTCAGGCAACGGTGCACCGGCGTTGATCAGGACACCTATCGCAACGACACGTCATCTACGGCGATCAGAAACGGCCACCACTGACATTTGCAAATCACTCAGTTATCGTCGGCAACAAGACTTGCGTTAGGCACGATGGTTTTCCACTTACCGCGACGAAAGCGCCAGATCAGCATGGCCCCTTTTACAACATAGTCACCAATAAGCGCTGCATAAACGTAGACCACGGGCAACTTGAGGTAGGTGGCAATCAAGGCCAGACCACAGCGCATGACCAGCAAACCGATAATTGTAGCCATCAGGGGAAAACGCGTATCGCCAGCACCACGGAGCGCACCCCCGATAGAAAACTCGATGGCCATCAGCGGCATCATGGCGCCAAGGATGTAAATAAACTGCACGGTCAATTCCACTGTACGCGGTGCATCGCCAATAAAATAGGTCGCCAGTTCTTCAGCGATAAAGATGATGATGATGCCCAGTGTGCCCATGGATAAAATGGCAAACAGACAGGCTCGCCAGCCGCTGCGGGCGGCACCTTCGTGATCATTAGCACCCAGGTTCTGGCCGACCAGGGTTGACCCTGCGATCGAAAATCCAAACCCCACCGTCATACAGACTGCCAGCAGACTGACACCGATGTTATACGCGGCAAAAGCCTCGGTGCCGTAGTAATTGCCAATCAGCATCAGGAAGATAAAAAAGCCGATCTGAAAGACGCCCTGCTCCAACGCTGCGGGATAGCCGATATCTAACAATCTTTTTAAGCGCTCTTTCCGCCACCATCCTCCGGCCACATGTTTGACCCTGAAGCGTTGCTTGATCCACATGGTCATGAGCACCGCAACACCTATAGAAAATGAGATACCCGCGGCGATTGCAGCGCCTGCCACGCCCATTTCGGGCATACCCCAGCGACCGTAAACAAAAGCATACAGCAGCGGAATGTTCATGAGATTCACCCCCACACTCATCCACAGCGGCGTCCAGGCATCACCGGAAGCCCGCAATGCCGCACTCAGAACAAACATGGCAGCAAACACAATGTTAAACGCAGATAACCACCGGATGTTAAGGCTGGCCATTTCCAGTGTATTTGGATCTAGGCCAAACACACTGGCTACAGGTGTGGCAAAAGCAATGCCAAGGACCGCCATACCCAGCGCAAGCACGCCACCTAAAACCAGCGATGCCATGGTGACGCGACTGGCTTCGCGATAATCACCCGCCCCCCAGGCCCGCGCTACCAAAGCGGTGGTCCCGGCACTGACCGCCATCAGGATAGCCTGCATGGCAAAAAATATTCTCTGCCCGGCACCTACAGCCGCCAGACCCTCAGCACCCAGGGTAGCAATAAATTTAACCTGCACCATCCCTACAATGGTGTAAGACAGGTTGCCCAGAATAGAAGGCAGGGCCAGCTCCCATATACTCGGCCGCTGAGCTTCGGAAACGTCAAGCTCTAGTTCATCGATGTCTTTTGAATCGTCCACTTAGGTGTGCTTTCCCCTGCCCCGCTGTTAGTATTCTGCCCTTCACTACCTGCTACACCACCGCCTTGATAATCGACAACTGCACAGATATCGAAGTTACCCTCGACGATCATGTCGCTACGGTGGAGATACAGCGTCCGCCGCTCAATTTTTTTGATCATAGTCTGATCAGCCAACTTGCAGACGCATTCGACGCCCTGGACGCAGAGCCCGACTGTCGTGCCATAGTGCTGGCCTCAACGGGCAAAGCATTTTGCGCCGGTGCAAACTTTGGCACCGGGCAAGCAGATGGAACCGGAAGCGCTGATTTTACAGAGGAAGGCTTCCAAAACACCACAGGAAAACTCTATCAGGAGGCCACAAGGCTGTTTCGGACTAAAAAAGTGGTCATTGGCGCCATTCAAGGTGCTGCAATTGGTGGCGGTCTTGGACTGGCGCTGGTGCCGGATTTTCGAATTGCGAGCCCTGCAGCACGTTTTAGCGCTAACTTTGTCAAACTCGGATTGCATCAGGGGTTTGGCATCAGCGTGACACTTCCCCGACTGATTGGACAACAGGCCGCTGCGCACATGTTGTTGAGCGGTAAACGCATAAGTGGCATTGAAGCCGCAGACATGGGTCTGGTCGATCAACTCGTCGAAGCAGAGGACCTGCGCCCTGCAGCGTTGTCTCTGGCCAGGGAAATTGCCGAGAACGCGCCCCTGGCTGTGATGTCTGTACGCGCCACAATGCGCGCAGGACTGGCTGAAGCGGTTGCCAAAGCAACACAACATGAACTGGCGGAACAGCAGTGGCTTCGCGCAACCAATGATTCATATGAAGGTATTCGCGCGGTTGCGCAAAGACGTCCAGGCGTTTTTACCGGCACTTGAGTACTGTCGAGTCATTTTTCACAAGAAGAATTTTCACAATAAGAGAGGAAGTAGATGGATACAGGCAAACTGGGCGTTTGGTACTTTTTTGACGGCATGTCCTCCGTTGATGCAGCTGCGGCAGCAAAGCGAATTGAAGCCATGGGTTATGGCACCCTCTGGATACCAGAAACCGTGGGTAAAAACCCAACTGTTATGGCGTCATGGTTGCTGGCTAATACCGAAAAGCTGAACCTGGCCACCGGCATCATTAACATCTATCACCGCGAGCCGGGGGTGACCATGGCCGCACAGAAATCTCTGGCGGAACAATCCGGCGGGCGTTTCCTGCTTGGCATGGGTGTATCTCACAAGCCGTTGGTTGAAGGAGTACGTGGGTTGGAATACGGGCCGCCGGTTAAAACCATGCGCGCCTATCTTGAAGCGATGAAAGCTGCACCTTACAACGGCTTTCCACCCGCTGAAGAACCACCAACGGTTATTGCCGCGCTGGGTCCCAAAATGCTGGAGCTGGCAGCACAAGCCTGCCAGGGTGCACACCCCTACTTCAGCTCTCCGGATCATACCCGCATGGCACGCGAGATTATGGGACCGGACGCCATGCTCTGCGTAGAACAGAAAGTTATTCTGGAAACTGATGCCGATAAAGCCCGTGAGCTGGCACGCCCTGTGGCGCAGATCTATGCCGGCCTCCCCAACTATCGCAACAACTGGTTGCGCATGGGTTTAAGCGAAGATGACATCAATAACCTGAGTGACAAGTTTATCGATACAACGTTTGCATGGGGTGATGTTGACGCCATCAAGGGACGCATAGCGGAACATATGGACGCCGGTGCAACCCACGTCTGCATACAGCCCGTGAATACCAACGGTCAGTTTGGCGACCTCGACTGGGAATGTCTCGAAGCGCTTTCACCCTGAACCGTCTGGCGGCTGGGCTTTCCCAGCCAGCCCCACCTTCGGCATTAGCCCCAGGTTTTCGCCTGGGCTAACGCCTTTTCAGTACCGTATACCAGATCATCAAAGATGTCTTTGGCAGGTCTAACGGCTTTAATCATGCCAATGCCCTGGCCAGCGAAACCAGGATTGATGTCACCGCGACCCGCACGGGTTGCAGCGGCCATCACAGGACCAGAGACTGCACCCTGATAAGGCATGGGTAACGGCTCCACACCTTCTTTCACCCAGTAGTCAGTCCATTTGCTGCGGATAATGCGCGCCGGCTTGCCTGTGACAGAGCGAGATATCGCGGTGCCTTCTTCGGTGGCATCGATAATGGCCTGTTTCTGAAAAGGGAAAATGTTGGCTTCTTCAGAGGCCAGAAAGGCTGACCCAATCCATACGCCCTGGGCACCCAGCATCATGGCCGCGGCAACCCCGCGACCATCGACAATGCCGCCCGCACCTAACACCGGCGTATCGCCCACAGCGTCTACCACTTGAGGAATCAGCGCCATGGTGCCAATCGGCGAGTTATGGCCACCACCATCGTGCCCCTGGGCCACAATCACATCGAGCCCGGAAGATTTCACCTGGATCGCATGGCGCACCGCGCCGATCACCGCCATCACCTTGGTGCCATTTGCGCGCAGCTCCGCCATCCATGGGCCCGGATTGCCCAGACCCGACGCATATACAGGTACCCGTTCTTCAATGACCACCTGCATCTGGGCTTCAAAAAATTCCTTAGTGAAAATTGCCGGTTCACCGGGAACAGATCGTTCTTCAAGATCTTTTGCTGTGACCGGCTCCAGGCCCTCTTTACGCATGAAAGCCTGCGCAAACTCGAGGCGTTCGGGGAGCAGATCAGACGGTGTCGGACCCGCATCTGAGTCATAACTGGCGCGCCGTACGGAAGCTGGCAGCAACGTGTCGACGCCAAAAGGTTTGTCTGTCAATTCGCGGGTTTCACGTATCCACTGACGCAGCTGAGTCGGTCCACAGGCGGCTGCGCCGAGAATACCCAAGCCGCCGGCATTGGATACCGCGGCTGCCAGAGCAGGGCCGCTGGCACCGCCCATCCCCGCCAGAACAATAGGTTTGTCAATGCCAAAAATGTCACAGATCGATGTGTGTAAAGTCATGTCAGTTCTCCAAATTCCCCATAACCGCCGCGAAAGAACAGCAGCGGCGCTTTGCCTTCATCCGTCATTTTAAAATCCTGCACCTGCCCGACGGCAATCGTATGATCGCCGGCATCGTGCTCAGCCACCAGCTCGCACTCTACATAACCTAAGGTACCGACAATAATCGGCGCCCCGGTGACACCAGCCTGCCACTGCACATCGGCGAACTTATCACCGCCAGACTTTGCCATGGCATCACAAACGTGTTTCTGATCAGCCGCCAGCAGATTGATACAGAAACTGCCAGCGTCCCGCAGTTTAGGCCAGCTGGAAGATGATTTTCCCGGGCAGATCGCCACCAGCGGCGGCGTCAGGGACAGAGACACAAAAGACTGTGCGGCAAAGCCCACCGGCTTGCCCTCGAAAACACTGGTTGCCACCACGATGCCGGTACAGAAATTCCCCATCGCGTTTCGCAGCGCGCGTCCGTCAAACTCCGTCATTACTACCCCTGCCAGATCTTTTTGTATTTTTTGTGCCTGTTGGACTATACCGCAAGCAGCTTGGTTTGCTCATCCCGCTTTGTTTAAGATGTGTCTCTTTTTTTGGTGACCTTCGGGTCTACAGTCACGGCTAAGAGGCAAAATGATATGAGTGATTTAGAAGTATTCCGCCAGCAAACCCGAACGTGGCTGGAAGAGAATTGTCCGGCTTCCATGCGAACCCCGGGTTCTGAAGAAGAAACGGTCTGGGGCGGACGCAACCAGACCTGGGTGAACCCTGATTCAAAAATCTGGCTGGAGCGCATGGCAGAACGAGGCTGGACCGTGCCGCGCTGGCCCGAAGCCTACGGCGGTGGCGGTTTAAGTGCAGACGAAGACAAAATCCTGCAACAGGAAATGCGCCGCATCAATGCGCGCCTGCCGATTCAGAGCTTTGGCATCTGGATGCTGGGCCCCGCGTTGCTGGAATTTGCCAGCGAAGAGCAGAAGAAGAAATATCTGCCTGAAATCGCCCGGGGTGAAATTCGCTGGTGCCAGGGATACTCAGAACCCAGCTATGGATCAGATCTGGCGGGGTTGCAGACCAAGGCCGAAGACAAAGGTGATTACTACCTGGTTAACGGTGCAAAAATCTGGACGTCATATGCCGATCAGGCCGATTGGATTTTCTGCCTGGTACGTACCGATGCAGACGCCCCCAAACACGAAGGCATCAGCTTCCTGTTGTTTGATATGGCCAGTGAAGGCGTCACAACAACGCCTATACCCCTGATCTCCGGCGCCTCACCATTCTGCCAGACTTTCTTTGACGATGTGAAAGTGCCCAAGACGCAGCTGGTGGGTGAGCTCAACAAAGGTTGGACCATCGCCAAACGGCTGCTGCAGCATGAACGCCAGATGATCTCCGGCATCGGTGGCAACTCCGCCCTGGGCGGCAGCGGTAGCCAGCTGGAGGATGTTGCAAAAAAATACATTGGTGAACAGAACGGTCAAATTGCTGATCCGGCAATACGCGGCAGCATTACCGAACACCGCATGAATGACAGCGCCTTTCAGCTGACCATGGCGCGTAGCGGTGAAGAAGCTAAAGCCGGCAACCTGGACGCCAACCTGGCTTCAATTTTCAAGTACTACGGCACTGAACAGAACAAGCGTAAATATGAGCGCATGCTGGAGTTGATGGGCACCCAGATGCTGGGTTGGGAGGGTGATACTTTTGAAGCCCGCGAACTGAATGCGACCCGCCAGTGGTTACGCTCAAAAGCCAATTCCATTGAAGGCGGCACCAGTGAGGTGCAACTCAACGTGATTGCTAAACGCGTACTGGGTTTACCCGACTAGCGGTTCAAGTAAAACAGCCCATCTGTAGATGTGTAGCTGGAACAACCCGCTACACGTTACGGTTTGAAATTGGCGGTTATTGGCCCAATATAGGCAGTGCCATTACAGCCAATTGGAAAACCGTATGGAATTTATCATTGTACTTGTCATTATCGCCGCCCTGGCTTTCTGGGTGGTGGCCATCTACAACAAGCTGGTGGCGCTGAAAAACCGCTTTGAGAACGGCTTTGCCCAAATCGAAGTACAGCTTAAGCGTCGCTACGACCTTATTCCCAACCTTGTTGAAACAGCCAAAGCTTATATGAGCCACGAACGCGAGACGTTGGAGGCGGTTATCAACGCCCGCAACCAGGCAATGGCTGGCCTGACGGCTGCAGCTGCAGACCCGGGCAATGCCAACGCCATGAAAGAACTTGGTAGCGCGGAAGGCATGTTAGGCAGTGCTTTAGGGCGGCTCAATGTTGTGATGGAAGCGTATCCCGATTTGAAAGCCAACCAGAACATGATGCAGTTGAGTGAAGAACTGACCACCACAGAAAACAAAGTGGCATTTTCCCGCCAGGCCTACAATGACCAGGTCACTGAATACAATTCTTACCGACAGTCGTTTCCACCGGTTGTGTTCGCTGGAATGTTTGGTCATGCCATCGATGCAGAATTGCTTGAGTTTGCTGACTCAGAGGCCATTCAGGCTGCCCCTTCAGTATCATTCAATTGAGTGATAAACGCCCTGGCAGCTGACAGACACTACCGCCGATGAACTTTTTTCAGGCGCAGGATAACGCTCGCAAAAAAACCTGGTTACTGGCGATGCTGTTCGGCGCCGCCGTCATTACCCTGCTGCTGTTAACCAACCTGTTTGTTGCCATCGCTTTCGGCTGGGCAGGCATGCAGACCGGTATGACCTTCGGCCAGACGTTAGCTCAGGTGCCCATCGACAGCTGGATCTGGATCAGTCTGGGGGTGATCGGTGTCATCGGCGTGGCAAGCCTGTACAAATTCCTGAGCATCTCCGGCGGCGGAAAAACCATAGCTGAAGCGTTAGGTGGATCACTGATTCACCAGAGCACCACAGACCAGAAGCAACGCCAGCTGTTGAATGTGGTTGAAGAAATGGCCTTGGCTGCAGGCATGCCGGTGCCGCCGGTGTACCTGATCCCCGAACCCAGCATCAATGCGTTCGCTGCAGGGTTCAGCACCGACGATGCTGTGATCGGTATCAATCAGGGCACCCTGGAACAGCTTTCCCGCTCTGAGTTACAGGGTGTTGTAGCCCACGAATTCAGCCACATTCTGAATGGCGATACTCATATAAACTTACGCCTGATCGCTATTCTGCACGGCATATTGTTTGTTGGCATGATTGGCTATGGTCTTCTACGTGCTGGTGGATTCAGCCGGCGCAACGGTTTACCTATTGTGGTGGCAGGCATTGGCCTGCTGATCATCGGCTACGGCGGCACTTTCTTTGGCAACCTGATCAAAGCCGCTGTAAGTCGCCAACGCGAATATCTGGCAGATGCATCCGCTGTGCAGTTCACCCGCGACCCCAGCAGCATCGCAGATGCTTTGAAGAAGATCGGCGGGTTCAGCATGAGCTCACACATGACCAACCCCGCGGCGGAACAGGCCAGCCATATGTTTTTTGGCGCGGCGGCGCAGAAATTTTCAACCAGCTTGTTGGCTACCCACCCGCCGCTCGACAAACGCATCCTCGCTATAGAACCAGGTTGGGATGGCAAGTTTCTGCAGAATAGTCCGGCAACCATGGCAACGGGCCAACACCGACAAACACGACCCTCGAACCCCGCAGAGACATCCGGGGTGAGTCAACTGGCTGGCGATGCGGACAGCAGAGCACAAAATATTGTTGAGCAAGTAGGCACATTGAGCGTTGCAGGGCTTACTGCAGCACAGGACATGATCTCGAACAATCCAGCACAGTTGAAAGAGGCGGCACATGATCCGTTTGAAGCCCGCGCATTGGTCTACGCAATGTTGATCCACTCGGAACAGAACAGTGCCAGCGAACAGCAGCTGGCATTGATAGCGGAGCGTGCCGAAGCTGGTGTTGCAGCGCATGTGACCCGCCTGCTACCCATTGTTCGAGGCAGTTCGAGCAGTCATCTGCTGATGCTCCTGGAAATGTCCATACCTGCGCTCAAAGAACTCAGCCGTGCCCAATACAAGACATTTACGAGCAATACTGCCGCCCTGATCACCGCCGACAAAAGGATCGAAATTTTCGAATGGGTCATCCACAGGGTACTGACTAAACATCTGCACGCTCATTTCCAGGGCCCGCTTAATGTGCATGGCCGGATTGGCAACATCAGTAAACTGGCTGATGACGCTGCCAAACTGCTTTCGATTCTGGCCAGCCACAGCCACCAGGACACCGACGAGCAATTGCGCGCTTATAGTGCGGGTGCAGCAGAACTCGGTATCAGCAAAGCCTATTCAAAACAGGAAAACTTTGACTATCAGCGTATGAACGATACGCTGGCTAAATTGCGCAAACTAAAACCGCTGGCAAAGCCTGCGCTGCTCAAAGCCTGCGCAACAACGGTGCTGGCAGACAACCACGTCAACGCTGCAGAAGGCGCGCTGCTGCAGGGTATTGCTGCAACTCTCGATTGTCCGATACCGCCGTCTATCTATGCCTGAACCTGCCGCGAACCTCTGCACCCTATTTTATGCCTGAAAAAGTCACTGCAAGCACACGCCAGGCGTACTAGAATGCGCCACCTTTGCCGATCGATATCAGCTTGACCCAGTCTGAAACCAGCAGCCAGGTGCTGCCTCTTACCAACCGCAGCAAACAGCTGGGCGCACTGGATCTGGGCTCCAACAGTTTTCATTTGTTGATTGCCCAGGAATCCCATGGCCGGGTACAGGTGCTGGACAAACACAAAGAGATGGTGCGACTTGCCGAAGGCCTGCGATCTGGCAAAAGCCTTGACGCAGATGTGGTTACCCGCGCCCTCGAATGCCTGGAAAGATTTGCCCAACGACTACGTCCACTGGATCCCAGCAACGTCCGTATCGTCGGCACTAACACGCTGCGCAAAGCCAAAGACAGCCAGTTCCTCGCCCAGGCCGAACAGATTCTCGGGCACAAAATAGACATTATCTCCGGGCGCGAAGAAGCCCGCCTGATTTTCATGGGCGTTTGTCATGATCTTGGCGGTGAAGATACGCGACGCCTGGTAGTTGATATCGGCGGCGGCAGCACCGAACTTATCCTGGGTCGAAAAGCCTCCCCCGAGCAACTGGAAAGCCTGTATATGGGCTGCGTGTCGATGTCGCAGAAATATTTTGCGGATGGTGTGATCACCAAACAGGCTATGCAGAAAGCGATCAAACACGCGCTGGTAGAGCTCGAACCTGTCACACACGACTTCGTCGAACAGGGCTGGGAAAGTTCGGTTGGCGCTTCCGGCACCATAAACGCAGTGCGGGAGGTAAATGCACACCTTACCGGTGAAGATCTGATCAGCAGCAAAGGGCTGGCCGAAATCAGAAGCAAACTTATCAGTGCTGGCAACCTCAGTGAGTTGAATCTTGCCGGCCTTGCTGACGAACGCAAGGCGGTATTCCCTGGCGGCGTAGCTATATTGTCAGCAATATTCGAGGCGCTGCAGATTGAGAACATGATGGCCGCCCAGAGCGCCCTGCGCGAAGGCCTGATTTACGATCTGCTGGGTCGGCAGCAGGAAGACGATGCACGCGAGCATACCGTTGCCAATTTAACCCGGCGCTATCGTATCGATGAGGTCCACGCCCGACAGGTGCGCGAAACTGCACTGAGCCTGTTGTCTCAAGTTGCGATGGTGTGGGACCTCACCAACCCTGAACACAAGTTAATTCTCGGCTGGGCAGCCAGTCTGCACGAAATTGGCATGGACATCTCTCACTCGGGCTACCACAAACACGGCGGTTACCTGCTGGAGAATATGGATCTGCCTGGTTTTTCACGCGCAGAACAGAAGTTGCTTGCCATCATGGTTCGTGCACACCGGCGAAAAATGCCAATAGACCTGTTTCCGGCAGATGCACCTTCACAAATCCGTTTAAGTGTCCTGTTGCGCATTGCCGCGGTTCTGCATCGGGGCCGCAGCCACACACCTTTACCGCATGTCGATGTGCAGGCGAAAAACAAACAGCTCAAGCTGTCGCTGCCGCAGGACTATCTGGACACCCACCCGCTGACCGCTGAAGACCTTGCCAACGAAGCCAATTACATCAAAGCGGCAGGGGTTGAGCTGGTATTAGTGGACCACTAACCACCCGGCTCCCGTCTAAGCCTCACTCCGCCAGCTGCGCGAGCAGAATCTCCTGCGCGGCACGCCGATTCTGCTTCGATTTTTTCTGCGTATACGAGCCATCGGAGTTGAGATCCCAGCTCTGCGCATTGTCATTCAGATAAAGTTCAATGGTTTCGTGAAATACCCGCTCTTTCAGTTTTTTATCTTCTATCGGGAAACAGGTTTCGACACGAGAGAAAAAATTTCGCCCCATCCAGTCTGCGCTGGAGAGATACACCAATCTGTTGCCGCCATTGTCGAAACAGAAGACACGGGTGTGTTCAAGAAAACGACCGATAATCGATCGCACCCTGATGTTCTCTGACACGCCCGGAATACCAGGGCGTAACGCACAAAGACCCCGCACGAGCAGTTCGATCCTCACACCCGCCTGGGAGGCTTCATACAGGGCCTGGATAACTGCCGGCTCTACTAACGAGTTCATTTTGGCGTAAATGCCGGCTGGTTTACCGGCCTTGGCATTTTTAGCTTCTGCATGTATCAGATCAATCATGGTTGAATGCAGAGTAAACGGCGCCTGCAGAATTTTCTTTAACTTGCCGGCCTTACCCATTGCGGTCAACTGTGCAAACACCTTCTGCACATCTTCACCCAGTTCAGCATCACAGGAAAACAACCCGTAGTCCGTGTACAGGCGCGTGGTACGAATGTGATAGTTGCCAGTACCAAGGTGCACATAACGCAACAGAGATTTACCTTCGCGACGAATCACCATACACATCTTGGCATGTGTCTTGTGACCCACGACGCCATAGACAACCTGTGCACCCACCGACTGCAGCTTGTTGGCGAGCTCAATATTTGCTTCTTCATCAAAGCGCGCGCGCAATTCAATCACTACCAGCACTTCTTTACCGCGGGTTGCCGCATCTACCAACGCTTCGACAACCGCTGATTCGGTACCCGTGCGATAGAGCGTCTGACGGATAGACAGCACTTTCGGATCCCGTGCAGCCTGGCGCAAAAAGTCAACAAAAGGGGCAAACGACTCAAACGGATGATGCAGCAGAATTTCTCCGGCTCTAATGGCATCAAACATCGCGTCTGCGTTGCGAATACGGTCGGGAATCGAAGGTGTAAACCCCGGGTATTTCAGATCAGGTCTCTCAACCAGATCAGGCAACGCAGCCAGGCGCATGAGGTTAACCGGGCCTTCACAGCGATAAACCAGATCGCGATCAAGATTGAACTGCGCCGCAAGAAACGCGGTCAATTCCTCCGGGCAATGTTCTGATACTTCCAGACGCACGGCGTCGCCATAACGACGCGAAGACAGCTCACCTTCCAGAGCACGCAGCAGATCGTCGATCTCTTCTTCGTCTACAAACAGATCACTGTTGCGGGTCACGCGAAACGCATAACAGCCCGTAGCACGCATTCCCGGAAACAGTTGTGAGATGTGTGCATCCACAATAGACGACAACAGAACAAATTCGTTGCCGGATGTTGCCGAGGCTTCATCAAGTCGCACAATACGCGGCAGCGATCTGGGTGCCTGCACAATCGCTTTACCGCTGTTACGCCCAAAGGCATCTTTGCCTTCCAGGGTGACAATAAATGCCAGGCTCTTGTTCAGCGGTTCCGGAAAGGGGTGCGATGGGTCCAGACCGACCGGTGAGATGATCGGCGCCAGTTCCCGTGAGAAATAGCGTTTTAACCAGGCCTGCTGTTTCGAGTTCCAGTCATCCCGTTTGAGAATACGAATGCCCTGCATATCGAGTTTCGGCAGCAGCACGTCATTAAGCACCGCATACTGGTGGCTGAGCAGTTCCTGCACCACCGGTCCAATGAGACGCAGCTGATCTGCAGCGGAAAGGTTGTCCGGCCCACGTTGGGTGCTGCCGTATGCTTCCTGCTGCTTCAGCCCAGCAATGCGGATTTCGAAAAACTCATCCAGCACTGAACTGGCGATACATACAAAGCGCAGGCGCTCCAGCAGCGGGACACTTTCGTCTTCCGCCTGCGCCACCACACGACGCATGAATTCGAGCTGCGACAATTCGCGATTGATATACAGGTCTGGATTGGCAAGGTTTACGGTATTCACTGTGATCACTATTTTACTTCGGACAAATGTTAGCATGCGCGCCAGAACAAATTGTGACAGGTGCGTGATCACAGTAGCAATCAGAGCATCACGTACCAATTACTCGAGGGCTAACCAGTGCGCGATGAAGTGTTCCGCCGGAACCAGGGTCAAATTGTAGATTTTGCGTTTACCGAAGAAGTAACCGCCGTTTTTCCGGATATGATCCGTCGCTCTGTCATGGGCTACGAAACCATGGTGCCGGTGACCGGTCTTGCTGCCGCTCGCCACCTGGGCGATTCCGGGCTGGCATTCGATCTGGGTTGTTCGCTGGGCGCCACTAGCCTTGCGATTCTGCAGCAGAACAACAGTGCTGATATCCGTGTCTGCGGTATCGACAGTTCAGTATCGATGATTGAAGGTGCACAACAGGCGATTACTGACCCCAGAGCAGAGTTTCGCCTGCAGGACATACGCGACACAGACGTCAGTGGCGCAGACGTTGTGGTACTTAATCTGGTGTTGCAGTTTCTCGAACCAGAAGAACGACTGCCTTTGTTACGCAATATCCTGGCGCAGATGCAGACCACCGGCCTGTTGATCGTGTCAGAAAAAGTCCGCCACGATGACCCCGCCGAACACACTTACTTTGACGAGCTTCATCTGGCCTGGAAGAAGGCCAACGGCTACTCTGAACTGGAAATTGCACAGAAAAGGTCGGCGCTGGAAAACGTGATGAAAATCGACACCGAAGCCAATCACGAGAAACGTTTCCGGGCTGCAGGCTTCACCCAGATCCGACAATGGTACCGCTGTATGAACTGGGCCTCGTTTTTTGTCCAGCGTTGACTCCAACATGGACTTGCTGAAAAACCTGCCCACAGATTTACCTGACTGGCCGCTACAGCAAGCACTCGCTCGCTTCAGTGACCAACATCATGGTGATTTCAACAAGTGGTCAACGGCACTGAAGCAACTACCGTACCTGCAGAACCTATCCGTTGATCTGACTCACGGAGTGGTTGTTGAAGGTGAGGTAGATCGTCAGGCGCTCACGGATGCGCTGCAGCAGTTCCATCCCTGGCGCAAGGGACCCTTCTCGATCGCAGGGGTTTTTATCGACACCGAATGGCGCTCGGATCTGAAATGGCAGCGCCTGACCGAAGCACTGGGTGACCTGTCAGGCCAACGTGTGCTGGATATCGGCTGCGGTAACGGCTATTTCGGCTGGCGTCTGCTGGGGCAAGGCGCCCGGGAAGTGATTGGCATAGACCCAACTCTTTTATTCTGCATGCAGCATCTGGCGATAGAAAAGTACGTGCAGCGCCCTGGCAACTGGGTATTACCTCTGGGCATCGAAGAAATTCCGAGCACCACACAGTTCGACCTGGTGCTGAGCATGGGTGTGATCTACCATCGCCGCGATCCCCAAGCGCACATCGAGCAACTCGCAGCGCTCACCAGGCCTGGCGGACATGCCATTGTTGAATCTATTGTGGTTGAGGGGGCAGAGGCTCTGATACCACCTGGTCGATATGCGCGCATGCGCAACGTCTGGTGTGTACCAAGGACTGACGACCTTTGTGAATGGATGGATCAGGCCGGGTTTGTCGACATCAAGGTAGTAGATATCAGCCCGACAACAACACAGGAGCAACGCAGCACCCAGTGGATGCGTTTCGAATCGCTTGCAGAAACCTTAGACCCTGAAAATGCACAGCTCACCGTAGAGCAGCATCCCGCACCGATTCGCGCCATCGTTATGGGTAAAACGCCTTAACTCAGGAGCCACCGCGCCGCCGGGACTAACCCCGATACTGTGCTGACGCTATAAACTCACCAAACGCTTCGCACCAGACCACTACTGTGTTGTAGCGCGTCAGATCTATGTCATTCGGCAAGTCGATAATAAATCCGTCAAAGGTTTTCACCTCACCGATCAGCATTACGGCAGGCGGTGTTTGTGGGGCCGTGAGTATCTTTTCTGCAAGCAGGACAGACTATGCTTCTGCAGCCAGAAGCGTTAGCGTATCCACATCAGAACTTAAGCTCAAAATCATGTTTGGCATCATCCCATTTAACTTCAGATTCCGCGGCAAGGTACGTCGGATCCTTGACATTTACTTCTGTTTTATCGAAGAAGGCAACGTCGCCCTGCACCCTACACAGATCGCGCGCAAAACCGGTATCAGTTTTGCTGAAGTCGCTCGACGCCTGGATGCCACCCCGGAGCTGTTCGTTAAACTGCCCAAACGCGACGGCATCACACGCTACCGCATCACCACCAGCGCATCGACCCGCACTGAAGAAGAAACCGAAAAGTTACTCAACAAGTATGCCCAGCGTGAATCCTGGCTGTTTTATGCTTTTGGCTTGATGGTGCTCGCCATGCTGGTGATTATTGTGCTGACCATCATCCCCAACGTCTGAACACCAATACCCGTTAAGGAATTCATGTGCCTGAATCGCTCAACCCAGAACATCAGCAGTTGGCCGATACCTGCGCCGAGTTTGCTCAGCAGGTTCTATTAGCCAAGGCTGCCGATGATCCCGCTCGGGCTCGTGCTGATATACGTAGCGCATCCAAAGCCGCCGGCCTGTTCGCAATGACTCAGCCCAAAGCTTTTGGCGGCCAGGCGGCTGGTCAGCTTGCGTTATGTGTTGCACGGGAGACGCTGGCGAGTTTTAACCCACCGTTTATGGACGCCGTGTTTGGACCCAGTCCCGGCGTCCTGGCACAGGTAGAAGAACCCTTGCGCAGCACTCATCTGGCGCCGTTACTGGCAGGTGAAAAGCGGGGCAGCTTTGGCTTCACCGAAGCAGACGATGCACCAGCACCGACCAGCGGCGTGATCGAAGGTTCAAACCTGCAGATCAACGGCCAGAAATCTTATGTGACCGGCGGTGCCGAGGCGGACTTCATTAACACTCT